CAGGAATGTTCTGTGTGGACTCCAAGCAGCTGCACCAGGAAGATGGGGGAGATGGAGGGAGAGGGGCTGCTTTCCCACACGCTAAGTAGCAGTTTGTCCCACACTGCCACTGATCAGCCCAAGATGGACGAGCGCAAGGCACGTGGGATTGGTGCTACGTGCGCTAGGCCCCGCCTGTACTGTGGGGCTGGGGTTGGAGGAGTAGGAGCAAGCAGGCACATGGGAACACAGTGCCAGCAGGGCCCAAAGCGGGATGGCAACAGCGCAGGGTCCTGGCCAGCAAGGGCTCTATGGAAGCAGGCCAGCTCCCCTCTCTCCCTGTTGGCACAGCCCAGCCCAGCTCCACAGACCCCTGCCAGCCCACGCCCTGCTGCTCCGCTGTGGGCCCCGCCAGTGCTGGCCCTGTGCTCCCACGTACCCGCTCGCTTCCACTGCTTTCCTGCCTGCCCACTGGTGGTTCCTAATCATGTGGCTCCTGGCTGTATGGCCACAACAGCAGGACTCAGCAGGAGCACTGGGGCGATAGTCCGCAGTTCTCCCCTGCCCGCACCCCACCCTTCTTACCTGAATTTCCTGTTCCGGCACAGGGAGACAGGAACAACCCCACAGTCCCAGGCTAGAAGCCTCTGCTAGGTAAGGGCTTCTGACAGGCGGGTGGGCAGGGGGGGGCGGGGGGGGCAGACCTGATTGTTGCAGGATCCTGCTGTGGCTTCCTCTGGGTCCTATTGCCACTGGCTCCTATAATCTTTGACAGGCAGCCATGGGAAAACAAATATAAATTTTCTAAATTTTTTAGGGGCCCCGCAGGCCAGATAGAATGGCCTAGCAGGCCGGATGCAGCCTGTTGGCCACATTTTGCCCGCCCCTGCCTTAGCCCCAGGCTGGGGTCAGAACCAGCCTTGCCTGCTCTGGAGCTGAGGGCAGGTGGTAAGGGGGTAAATGGCTGCCTAAGCAGCAGCAGGGGGGCAGGTGGTAGAGGGGCAAACAGCCAAGGGCACAGGCACCAGGGGCAAGCATGGAAGGGGGGCAGGCACAAAAGGGTTCAGGAGACCAAGTGGCAAGAGGGGGCAAGGTGCAGGGGAAGCAAGGGGCAGGAGTCAGGCTGCTTGCCCACATCTCTGCTTTCACTGCCATAGTGGTGACGGGGGACAAATTTAAGATGACTGTCCTTTCTACAAATGGAAAATTATAACAAATGTATAACGTTTCATGTCTGGAACCTAATTATGGGATGGCCACCTTAAATTAGAAGTTGTCTTGAATTTGGGTATAGATAACTTTCAGGAAAAGGATGCAAAGGAGTTTATTTGCCACGTTCAAAATAACGCTTCTTTAACAGAAATAGGAGCTATGCTCAAGTTTGGTGGTAAAAGATTCATATAGTTAAAATATTTTAAAAAGTGGTGACAATAATTCATCAAATTTAACAGCAAGACAGGCCAGCAAACTCAGCAGCAACTAATCTGGCATGGCTTCTAGTAGCCAGCAATATATGCTTATGTTGCAAAAAAGGGGCCTAGAGAAATATAATATATTTCACATAGGCCTTGTTCTTCATTACAAGGTTAGTTCCTCTCAAGAAAAAAAAAAAAAAAAAAAAAATCACAACAACAGGATTACAATTTTTCTCAAGGTGCTCTTAAAGTACTTATTTTTCAGTTTGCAAAAGACCAGGTAACTACCATGCACTCAAGAATTAGCACAAAATCAAGTAGGAAGCAAACACAAAAGGGGGGTCCTAGTGTCATGCAGATTGCAAAAGCTGGGGAGGAGGATTATCATAAAACTATATGCTAACAACAACATGTTTAGGATACTGGGGGGGGTGTTAGTATCACTGATTCCTTTATCTTAGCTTCAAAGATGGTCAAAACATTGTTAAATTATCCAGGTGTACCATCTGTCTAGATTCTTGTATAAGTAATATGTTGGAGACCTCCCTTTAAGCACTGAAAACATCTTACCTCTTTTTTAGGACGATCTGAAACAAGGCTATCTTCTCCAACTGGGTAAGTGTGGATTAAGACCAATTCACACTTCTGGATTTGCATGAGACTTCCCCAAAAAAGAAGTCACGTGTTAGTAAGCTGGTAACAAAGCTGAAGATGTATACTACAGAATTTAGATCAACACTTGCGCAAGACTAGTTCAAGCTCTTGATCAAGGTAGAACTAAAATCATGAGATGCATATAAAATGTTCTGCACATGTTTTTGCCTGGACTTGATGCATGTTAATGTCTTTAGAAAATACATCATTTATCGTGAGAAAAAAATCAGTATTTCTAACTGAGGCTTTTGGGGGTGCAAAACATCACTGTTCCATGATTAACAGCATAAATCAGTGGTTCTCAGCCTTTTTAGACACAAGTCTTGTTAGACTAAAGGCACCCCTCTGAAAATGCCAGGTTTTAGCTTTCACTCATTTTTTTACTATGGAAAAGCAATAGAGGAATTTTTCTATTACAAAGAACTTGGAAAGGTCAGAACAGATCAAAATCTGAAATGTCTGGGTTTATCTTATGAATTGTATAGATGTTTGCACACCTAACTGTGCTAATATTGTATAGCAATAAAAGGTTCTCATAGTACCATAGTTGAGAACCACTGGCATAAACTGTCATAGCTCAATCCAAGTCCATAAAGCTATGGTAACTGACACCAACTAAGGATGTGCTCCTAAATGTTTTGCAAATATATAACAAATAGCCATGAAATAAAGAAGTACCCATCCTATATCAGAGAACAGGAAATAAAAATTAATAGACTCAATGCTGAACACCCTTGCCTCACAATGGCTAGAGTACCACAGAGAACACAGGGTTGTGTGCAACTTGTCTGAGGTCATCGAACATATATAGCAGCTGAAAAAGAACCCATGTCTTACGATTCAAACCTTTTACTGTATACATTGTGTTCTGCTTTAGTCACCTTGGGCATTTATAAGTGCTTGCACCACAGCACTGGGCACTTTTAAAAGTACCCAGAGCTGGGGTACGTGCATTTGTATAAACGGCAAAATGTACGTCAGTGCTGAGAAAATGGCGGTGCTGAGAAAATGGCGGTGGTGTGCTTTAGAACTAACACATCGGAGGAGCATTAGTTCAAAAGCTGACATTTATACTGCTGCCATTTATACAAATGCATGCAACGCAGCATCAGGTGTGTCAGCTCACGTGTCAAGCAGACTTGATTAATCGCACTGGATCTCCGGCATGTTGGAGCAGACAAATGTATGTGTATAACTGCTTCTTACTTCCCTAACACAGAACTTACACCAAAAGCCAATTTTCTGGAGTCTATTGTATTCTTTCTATACATGTGAAATTAAAAATAGATGAGAGCTAGAATCTCTTATTATTATGATTTATATGGATTATGCAAGTGCCTAGAGGAAAGAAAAAAAGTGGGAACCTAAACTACTTCTATTCTGCACTGTACAGTGTAATACGCAGTCCCTGAGCCAAATAATACAAGCTGAATAGCCAAGGGAGAGATGTGTAAAAGTGATTTAACATTGTGACCCCTTACTTTTTCATCAGTAATTTCTCTCTAAAATTTCAACAGGAAAATTAGGTAAAACTAAAAACTATTTCTAAGCACCTAAGCTTTTACAGTCTAAATGTAACAGCCATGTAAAATGAATTTAGTGCTGCCATCAACATGCATCCCTGAAAACAATAACCACCATCAACATCAGGAACTCACCAAACGCATTACTGATTTAGGGATGTTCCTTACAACAAGACTAAATTATCTTCTCTCTTACAGCTTGCCTATTTAAGAGAGACCAATCTAAAAAACATGTTTTATGTTGAATAATTATGCAAGTAAATAAGTCGATACTCAAGTTCTTGGATTAGAGTCACATTTTACTATCTTTCTCATCTGGCTTTCTTTTCCAGACAGCATTCAAAGTGTCCATCAAAATAAGTTTTCAATAAGATCTATGTGAAACAGGTACATCACTTCTTACAAAGGCAAATAAAAACAAGAGCCTGAAGGATAAAAACAGTGCTTGTGAACTGCATACTCACTGATCTGAATTAGCTGCAAGCTTGTTATGTTCATGAATCGTTTCCTGGACACATTCTTCAAGCATCCGAACATGGCTGTCACTGGAAAACAAAGTAGATGATCGGTCACTAGATTAGTCATTGGTCAAGAGGAGTTTGAAAAGCTTTTCTTGATGTGTTTGTTTCACTAATGCAGTAATTTTGCTTTTCATATAGCAGCAAATAAACTTTTCAATAGAATTTTGTTTTGCATTATTCAGTAAAAATTCTACTTAATACACAAACATAGACACCTCTTCTTTTTCCTTGTACAATGTATACATTAAAAATCTTTCAGACTTCAAAGTTACAGGAGTGGGGCTTGAAGACAGCTAAAGAATTTAAAGCTCAGATTTTATTCTTCTGAAGATAACCAACTCTTCATCTGTTCATCCCTTCCTAACTCACCTGCATCTGCTTTAAATAACTCACTTCTCAAGAACACCCTTCCACTAATGCTTTCCTACTCCAGTTGAGTAGGAACTCAACTACTCGACTACTCAGCTAAAGTTTAGCTGACCTCTGCAAGTGAAGTACTATGTGAGGAAAGAGAGGATTGGTGAATTAGCCCAAAAATGATCTACTGAAGGCATTATGTATATCAAAGCAAGAACACCGAGCAGCATTCAGAAAAGGGAGAAAACTAGGATCAGGTGGGTTTAGTTTAACTCTAAAACAAGTACAAACCTAAACACATATGACTGTATTTTGCCCACCCCTAATATTGTCATATCTGGCCTGCCAATGATTCTATCCAGCCCACAGGCAAGTGGTGGCTTTGGCTCCAGCCTCTGCTGATATCACAGATGTTGGTGGGTGGAAGCAGCTCCGCCTGCCCACCTGGCTGGCACCACGCAGCAGGTCCCAGGTAAGCCGCATTCAGGCCCCGGTGGCTCTGGCCTAATCTGGCACTGCGTGGAAGCAGCCCTTCCCAGAGCCTGAGCTGAAAATGAGCTCATTAAAGAAGGTAGACACTGAATGCCAAATATTCAACAACGAACCTTGTCTGCAAATATTCAACAATGAACATATTTCTAATTTTTTTTTTTTTTTAAACTATGTGGGTGGAAAAGCTACGTGCTTGATTTGTAAAGAAAGTACATCTGTGTTCAGAGAATACAATTTGAATTCACATTGTGAGAGAAAGTATGAATCCAAATATAAGAACTTGTCAGCTGAAGAAAAAGCAAAGAAAACTGAGGAGACGGTTGCTCGAATGCAGAAAAAGCAAAGCAACAGAGATGATGCCTGACTTCGATTTTCTGGTTAATGCACATCAAAGGCTTGTTTCTCTCCACCGAGTGAATTTCTTTGTTTTTCTTTAACCTAATTTTCAATATACATAGTAAGACTTTATTTTGAGTAGGGGTGCACTGATAAAGATTTTTGTGGCTGATACCAACAGCTGATTATTCACCAGGCATATTGGCCAATACCAATCCAATTACAGATTTACAGGAATGAAGCTGGTCAGTGTGGAGAGCATTTCCCTGCAGGCAAGCTTATGGAGGGGAAGGGGCATGGGGCAGATCAAGGCCCTCACAGTGGTCTGGGGTAAAGGCAGCATGGCAGAGAGGCCATAGCAAGCAGCCCACATCTGCCCTAACCCTTAACACAAGTCTAGGGGGGCATATGCACCCTCCCCCAGTGCCTTCCCTGGGGGTGCGCGCAGCACCAGGGAGCCACCCCCAGCTCCATCCTGCTCCCCACCCCCGGTCCCATTTACTGCCCTTTCTGGGCAGTGCTCCAACCCCTGCCCCACTCCCTCCCTCACCGTGGGGGCCTCGATCTGCGACCCTGCACCTCCTTTCCTCCTCAGACTTACCTCTAATTTTGAGCTACTGTACAATTGCCTCAAAAAAACATAAATCAGGCCAACAAATATTTTTTTTAAATAAAACTGAAATATTTTATAGATTTTTTATTTTTAGCAAATGATTTTTTAATCTATATATTTTTTAAATATCTTCACCATTAATTTAGTCTGTGCAGCCCTCAACAGCTCACCAAAACTTGTTAGAGTGGCTCTCCAGCTGAAATAATGGCCCACCCCTAGCCTATACCAACCTTTTGGCATTAGTAATGCAGATTATTCTTCCTCTATTTCCAACACGCTCTGCATTCTCCATTAGCATAGTTCGGGCTTCATGTTGGTACTCTGTAATTTTGCAGAGTGCTTCTACTGCTGTAACCAGTCCATGAAGTATGCTGCAGCATTCTGGGTCTGCATGAGGATTAGGTGGTCCAACAGCTGCTAGAGCTGCCATTAACTGGTTTAAAAAACAAGACAGAGAGAGACAGGTTTTACAGACCCATAACCAACTTTCTGGAAATATTTAGCTCTGAGCTTTCTTTTGTAGTAGATATATTAGTTGGCAACACTCTCTGGACAGCATGATGACAAAAAATACATTATTAATTAAAACAGAAGCCAGTACCTACTGCAAAACAGGTTCTATAACCATCTTCTACTACAGGTTCCTAGTTTTTTTTTAAATCTTTGCCTTTTGAACAGACACTTCTGTTTCTGTCCAAAGGTAAGTTTTTGTAAAAGGAGTCTGTTTTGTTTCTGAACAAAATCAGAAGCAAACAGCATGCTAGCTCAGCAGACAAACCAGGTCAAGTCTAAAGTTATTATTTACCAGCTTTATCCAATTAAAAAAAAAAAAGTTACAAATAAACAATATTAGAGCAACAAATATAAAAGCAAAACTTAAAGATTCCAAAAGCATTGTTACATTTAGATGTACAGCATATATTTATAGAGTATTTCTTTTTACTGTTTTTTTCTTTTTCTTCTTTATAACTTAGCACTGCAAATTACAGTTTGTACTATTAAAACATATAGGTTATGTCATGTTGCAATATTTAAGGGCCTAATCCTGCAAGGGGTTTAAGACCATCATTTCCAACTGAAACCATTAGTTCAGCACCTTGAATGATCAGACCCTCACGTTCCATTTTCAATTTTCACTGAAGCACTCTACTAACAGTTCCCCTCCCCATTATGTAACTGGGAATAACGTAATTAGCCTGCAATGTCCAAAAAGTCTTAAGACCACAGGAAAAGGGCAAGAGGATTTTGGTATTAACGTAAGAAAAAGGAAAGTACTCTTTCTTTATAGACCTGGACAAAGCTTAAATCTTATAAGGTCCTGGACCTTTCAAAGTTTCCAGCAAAATGTAAAACCTCAGGGTCTAACACCAATAATTTTAAGTAGTTTTGCTGGTAGCAACTAAAAGAGTTTAGCTGAACATTATAATACCTTCCTTCTCCATATTATCATTTTATCAATACAGCCAGGCTGAAAGAGAGAGGTTTATCTGAATGCAGATTATGATCTAAGTGGATCTAAGTGTCAATATAGGTGCCTTTCTTACCCAGAATATGTACAAGTTACTATTTTTTATGGTAACACTAGTCCTTGGGTCTTTTCCTTATCAAAATTCAAATTGAGTACCTTTTAACAATTTTGTCAGATTTTCTTCTTTTAACCTCCATGTTTTTTTAGTGAACTTCCTTATGAGATTTTTGAGCTTGGTACAACATGAATCTTACAACTCATCTATTTCCATCTGTTGCAGTTATACGTGTGTGACTTTTAAAAGATAAACAGTATTAAGAAAAAAAAAGATCAGGTGAATAAATTTGCAACTTTCATGTGAGATGTATGCAAACTGGTGTCTTTATTGCCATTCTAGTAAGATGAAAAAATAACAGTCCTCAAAAAAAATCTTATTCTGTGAAAGATACAACACCTCTAAAATCCTTCCTAAAATGACTAACACTTTCTCGGACAAAACTAAAATGTATAATGCTGTTAAAAAAAAAAAAAATTGTATTTGATCATTAATTTAAGCTACAAAACAGAGTATCAAGTACTATTTGTACCTCCTGCAGGTTTTGGTCTTCTTGTGTCCAGGAATTTAAGACATGAGCTCCAGAATCACTTACAATGAAATTCACCTAAAAAAGTTACAAACACAAGCTAAGACAACAGTAACATAATGAATTCTCTTGCCTCATGCAATAATCAGGACTATCTGAAAAGGCAACTTTTCCACCACCTAGTCTTTCCAGTCAATCTTTATTAGCAAACATCATCATTTCATTTACTATGTCAAATGTATGCCATAGGTTATGTCTATTGTATTCAATCAACAAGTTGTTGCAATAAATTACAATTTTCTCTACATTGTAAGCAGAGTACACCCTAGAGATCTTGCATTCAGAAGCAGTGGAATGACAAGACAAAGTATAAAGAAAAAATCATGTAAATTTATTTTTTAAGGAAGTCAGTAGCAATGCTAACTTCATATGTTAAAGCACAAACAAGAAGTCAATTTCAATCCTGAGTTACCATTACAAAAATATTATGAGGTAACTTCCTTACTAACTTAGTAACATTTTCATTAGTAAGAATCATCACTGAGAAATATATGCCATCTGTTATTTAATTAAACACAACATTGAATCAGTCTGTGGAATCTGTCACAAGGAAGTCATTGAGGTAAGTATACTGGCGGGATCTGAAGGCAGATCAGACAACTTTACATACATTTGCTGGGAAGGCAAAAAGTTTCAAGAGAAGTCATTTATGATACTAGCTGATCATGTACATCTCGATTAAGCAAACCATGCAGCTCCACCACAGGAATTAAGCACGTTTAAATGCCTGGCTGAGGTTAGTGAAAATGGTAAAATGCAATTTCTCTGTTACATAACAACAGCACAACAACTTCGTTAACTAAGCAAGAGAGAGCCACAAAGAATTAAACACAGTTAGCACAGACGTGTCAGATGAGTTTATGACAATAGCTAGAAGTTTCAAAAGGGCTTGATGAAATAGTTTTGGGGTGTAGGTTGTAGCCGTGTTGGTCTAAGGACATAGGCAGATGAAGTTCTTGGGATAAATCTGATACCTTTTATTAGCTCAACTGAAATAGTTGGGAAAAATTCTTCTTTGCGAGCTTTTGGGCACAAACACCCTTTGTCAGACTGAGGAAGCATCTGCAGTTTGTCTGTGCTCTTCAGTTGGCATTCTAACTCTATCACCAATTTGGACAAATAATACTGACCTCCCTACCAGAATATGCTTTGATTTCATGTCTTTCCCATGGCAACTGACATTTTCAGGACATTACCTAAAGTTTTACTCAAATGGAGACAAAAGAGCTACTCATTGGGCACATCTACACATGCATTATGGAGCATTAATGCGCAATAATGCTCCATGTAAATTTATTTTTTAAGGAAGTCAGTAGCAATGCTAACTTCATATGTTAAAGCACAAACAAGAAGTCAATTTCAATCCTGAGTTACCATTACAAAAATATTATGAGGTAACTTCCTTACTAACTTAGTAACATTTTCATTAGTAAGAATCATCACTGAGAAATATATGCCATCTGTTATTTAATTAAACACAACATTGAATCAGTCTGTGGAATCTGTCACAAGGAAGTCATTGAGGTAAGTATACTGGCGGGATCTGAAGGCAGATCAGACAACTTTACATACATTTGCTGGGAAGGCAAAAAGTTTCAAGAGAAGTCATTTATGATACTAGCTGATCATGTACATCTCGATTAAGCAAACCATGCAGCTCCACCACAGGAATTAAGCACGTTTAAATGCCTGGCTGAGGTTAGTGAAAATGGTAAAATGCAATTTCTCTGTTACATAACAACAGCACAACAACTTCGTTAACTAAGCAAGAGAGAGCCACAAAGAATTAAACACAGTTAGCACAGACGTGTCAGATGAGTTTATGACAATAGCTAGAAGTTTCAAAAGGGCTTGATGAAATAGTTTTGGGGTGTAGGTTGTAGCCGTGTTGGTCTAAGGACATAGGCAGATGAAGTTCTTGGGATAAATCTGATACCTTTTATTAGCTCAACTGAAATAGTTGGGAAAAATTCTTCTTTGCGAGCTTTTGGGCACAAACACCCTTTGTCAGACTGAGGAAGCATCTGCAGTTTGTCTGTGCTCTTCAGTTGGCATTCTAACTCTATCACCAATTTGGACAAATAATACTGACCTCCCTACCAGAATATGCTTTGATTTCATGTCTTTCCCATGGCAACTGACATTTTCAGGACATTACCTAAAGTTTTACTCAAATGGAGACAAAAGAGCTACTCATTGGGCACATCTACACATGCATTATGGAGCATTAATGCGCAATAATGCTCAGTGATTGGCGCTACTGCACAGCAGCGCTGGCACACTTCTTTTATGTGACGCTAATGGGCAGTAGACTTATTCTACTGCGCCTTAGCACTGCTTTTGGTGTGACACGCTAATGCACAGTAGAATGAGTCTACTGCACTTGTAGCATCTTGTGTAGACATACCCACTGAGTAGATAAGAAATTAATTCCCCCATTTTATAATCCACAATTAGCTAGGTACAATATCAGGCATTTTCCCTCCAAAAAAATCAAATGGTATTGCTCACTGTTGCAGACTGTATACCAGACTGGATATATCAGTGCCTTGATTTTATGTAATAACTCTTATTTCTAGTATCTTTCAAGCTTTAACATAAAAGAACTGTATGTTTATTTTTAATTAACTATTTTCTTTGTGCTAATATTTATTTTAAGTCTGTTTAAATCTGACATCCTTTTTGACACAACTGGAAGATCATCAGAAATGAAGAGGTGTCATAAGAGATAAAAGTTGCTTACTATATAAAAACAAAAGTATAGGAATTGTGCATTTTGTCATTTATCTTTCACCTATGTTCTATTAGCTGTGCTTTGCTTTAGTACTGTAGCTACTGTAAGATAAACAAGCTAAGTCCACACTATGTTTAAAAATTATATTTTTAACTGTAATGTATTGAAGTAATAATGCTACATTGCATTCTACAGCTCTTTCATATATGAAGGTGTTAAACCCCTTTCATTAGCAGGAAT